GTCCTACTGGTCGGAGTACAACATTAACCCTTCACGGCGCGTGTGTAGCCGATGCGGCCTATCACGCCCTTAATTGCTCGATCGCTTTTTCTCTACTTGACTTTGATCAAAAATTTCGCGATTTCGGGGCTCGAGTGGGGCACCATTTGGGTCTGAATAGGACCGCCTGACGACGGTTACTAAGCCGGAAATGGCCATTATAGTCTCCCTTGTCTTTGCTGGCCGTTCTACGTACTCAAGGGGTTGTTGTTAGACCCTATTTGCAGGGATGACCAGCGTGGAATGGAATTTAACACGTCTTGCTGTCCTCAAGGTGCTCCCATTTAAAGCAAACTATATTAGGCTCTCCCGGAACGACATGTCATTTTAATAGATCAGTGATCTCTTTGTAATTTCAACCGAGGATGGCTTCGGGTGAAATTGACGGCCCGATCGCCCTCACCTTACAAATACCGTCGGTTTTAACTGTTAGTATGTATTTTCCCTAATCCATATTTTTACATCATCCAAAATTACTGCGTTTGGCTGCCCCAAATTTTAATGCCTCTGCGGCTGCTTTAATTGCTTATATACTGTCTACTGAGATAACGTAAGTAGCCATGCTTATTACTAATTTTGTTTCACCTCCCATTAGCACGTGAATGTCATTCCCATCAGCACTTACCATCGCACCGCAGCTGGTCGTCTAAACGGTCAACCTCTGTCCGCCCTCGTGCCGAGCACTGGTTCTTCACTACCTCCACGTCACCACTCCAATCTCGAGAGAGGAGCTTTCCACGCCTCCGTCAGTAGGTTTACAGGTGGTCTGTCTGCTGGCCGTGGTCATTCAGCCTTGCAGTCCCTGCGAAAGTCAATATCCTCCGTCTCCGCGCCCGCAACTTCTGGGGTGCGCTGCATGGCAAAGTTTTCGCTTTTTTGTTTCATTCTTTTATTGTAATTTAACACTTCGGGTGGGGTGGGGGGTGATTCATATTCTTGTGCCAAACCCTGTGCATACCGGCCAGAAAAATTGGAATTCCAATGTTTCTTTGGTCTTGGGAATTGCAGAAATAAAAGTATTTCCATCCGAAACAACTCACTGATATCTGGACTTCTGACGGTTTCTTTCCGTATTTTAACTAGCATGTTTTACGTGCTTCGTTTTTGTTGTTTCCCCGGCGCATGCAAAAATGGTCCTTTAAAGAAAGAAAGAATTTTGTTGAATTCACTCTTTTCTAGGCTAATACATATTTTTTACTCTTTGGTCGTTCCGCTTTCAACTTAGGGTATTCCGCTACTTCCAGGTTCTTTTTCGCAGTACATTAGTCGCCGGCTATTATGCCCACGGTTAATGGG